TCCTCTTTCGCCCTTAATCGAGTTGGTTGTTGTTATATTTGTTTGTTTGAGTGTTATTTGATTGTTGCCCTGAATTTTGGTTGAAAATAGAAGAATTTGAGTGTACCAAGCTTCGCCGGGGCGAAGAAGAATCTTCGCCGCGGCGAAGATGGGTTGAACCAAGGGTGAAACTCTCTGGACAGTTTCGCCGCGGCGACAAAGGTTTCTTCGCCGCGGCGACAGGCCGAATAAAATGTGGTTGAGTTTTAGACATTTTCTTCCTAAGGACATTTTGACCTTTCTACCCCTTTTAGCAGGAAAAGTGGGGAGTTAATTGTAAGGATTTTCATGGAGAATGTGTTGTATGGGGGTGAGTTTGTAATGAATCAAAGGATATAGATGGAATTCCCAAAGAAGAGTAAGGGCAATATGGGAATGCTTTGTTATACATTTCATTAAAAGGGATTAGAATTAACAAAACCTCATTTTCTCCTCAAAGCAGCACTCCATTCTTCTTCTCTCAACTTCCTTCTCTCTTGATCAAGGATTTCCAAGGGATTTTGAAGTGATTTGGGGTGGAAAAAGCAACCAAGGCTTCCTAAGGTAAGACTCCTACTTAAGTTGTGTGATTTGGGAGTTTAACCCATATTGAAATTTGAGGGTTTTCATTTTGGTTAAGGTAGAGAGAATAGTCAAGAAAACCAAGTGGAAAGAAGATTTGGTGAAGTCTCTCCATAGCAAGTAAGTAAAAACCAACCCAAGTTGAGATTTATGAAATTTTTGATTAGGGTTTTGATAGATTTGATGTGTATGTGATATACATGTAATATGGCATGTATGAAGGATTAAATAGAGATTTTTATGCTTTGTGAATGTTATTACTTTGCAAATATGAGAAATGGGTTGTTGGATTGGCAAGGTAGTTGAGATGGAATTGAATGGGTGTTATGAAACCCTATTTGGAAGTGTGTTATTTGGCAGGTTGTTATGACTTTGTGAAGGGGTTTTTCCCCATTTTGGATGGTTAGGAAAAGTTTTAGATTCATGGCTATGAAGAGTATTATAGGGCACATGAGTTGTTTGATGAAATGTCTAATAGAGAATGAGTGTGAGTAAGAACTAATTCTTGCAACTTTGCATGTTGGCATTTCACAAGTGCATTAGTAGAGATGAATCATCCATGTGCATTGTTATATGCATTGACAAGTGACCTAGAAAAGAGTAGGGAACTTTGTGTATAGAAATACCCTATGAGTAGAGAGCTTAGAGTAAAATTACTCTAAGGGTAGAGAGCATTGAAAAATGCACAACAGAATGAGCTAGAAGAGTAGTATAGTTGGATGATGCTTTGTGATCATCACCCGACGTTATGGGAATCGGATTGATGCTTTGTGATCCTATCCGAATAACCCTAGAGATGGGTCGATGCTTTGTGATCGTCACCCAATGAGTAATAGAAATGGGGTAAATGCTTGGTGAACGTTACCCAAAATTCATGAGGAACGGGTAGATACTTTGTGACCACTACCCGATTAGTTAAGAGATATGTAGGTTGATGCTTTGTGATCATCATCCAACGGCTAGTAGAAGTGGGTTAATGCTTTGTGATCATTACCCGTAGTGACTAGAGACGGGTAAATGCTTGGTGACATTACCCAAAATTCATGAGGAACGGGTAGATGCTAGGTGATCTCTATCCGATAGTTAGGAGAACCGAGTTGGTGCTTTGTGATCCTCACTCGGTAGTCACTAAGAAGGGTTGGTACTGTGTGAATTCCACCCGATAGCCATAGAAAGTGAGATGGTGCTGTGTGAACGCCATCCGACGTACCTCCGGTAAGATGAGGCCATGATGTATTAGAAACAGAAATAGAAACAGAATTAGAAAAGGAAAGAATTAAGAGTCACACCCGGGGACAGACAGTTAGAGAGTTTTACTTACTGAGCATTATTTGTGCTACCCCATTATTTTCCTTGTGGATGCAGGTTCTAGGTGATGATGCGGTTGAGGGGCGTCGGCGGCGAGGAGCAATAGCTACACTGTTCCCCTATTTTGTCTTTTAAAATGCACTTTTGTAACAGTAACCTTTGTGTATAAAAGACATGTGAATTGTAATGAAAAGAAACATTTTGGGCCCAATTTTCCATTGTTAATTGCATGCATTGTACTAGTTTTCAGTAGGTGTACAAATACTTTTATTCTCCTTTAACTCTGTTCTGCTCTTTTTATTCTTTCTTTCTCTCTGTTCTTATTCTCTTTTCTCCTTCTCTTATTCTTACTCACCATGAAGGAAAATCATGGTTCTCTCTTATTTCATCATACTGACCATGAAGGAAAATCATGGTTCTCTCTATTCTCATCATACTCTCTCTCTATCTTACTCCTTCTCATTCTTTAATTCTCTCTATTATCTCTTTCTCATTTCTCATAATTCATTTTCTACTAACTCACTCTCTGAATGTCACGGACCCATCTTACCGGAGGCACGACGGGACTTCTTCCACTCTATGTGATTACTGATTCCTTTCTGTCTCTCTTTCTCATAACTCTTTTCTGTAACTTTCTTTTGTAGGTCAGGACCTCATCTTACCGGAGGCACGGCTGGGTACTCATCCCACTCTTCGTAACCCTACTCATTGTTCTTTTTTTTTTCTCATGTTTACTCATTCTTCCTCACTTGCATGTCACCGCTCATTCATCGGAGGCACGGCTGGGACTTCTTCTACTCTACGTGACTTCTATGATTTTCTTTCTGTTTTTGTTTCTCATATCTTTGCTATACACCTCTGGTGTATGACACGACCTCATCTTAGCGGAGGCACGGCTGGGAATCAACCTGCTCTCCGTGACTACTCTTTTCTCTTTATGTTCTTTCTATTCTTGTTTCTCATTCTTACTCATTGGAATGTCACGGCCTCATGACCGGAGGCACGGTTGGGTGCTACCACTCTACATGACTTCTACTCATTTTCTACCGATCGGATTTGGTCATGCATGGATTCGGAACCCTTGGCCATGTGGTGTACATTCTTCTCTAATCTCTTGAATGTCACAACCCTTTCTTATCGAGGGCACGGCTGAAATATCATGTTCCACTCTAAGTGACGATCACGGCCTCATCTGACCGGAGGCACGGTGGGGATCACAAGCACCCACTCTCGTGACTTCACTCACACTCACGGGTTCCCATCGCATAACCTACTTTATTCTCTTCTTTCACTCTTAGAGTAGTTATTCACAAAGATCTCTACTCTTGCTCAAGCTAATACTCATCTCTTTCTCAAGCTAGTACCATAGTATAGCTTAACTCTTAGAGTAGTTTATTCACAAAGATCTCTATTCTTGCTCAAGCTATTCTCAATGCATAACCAATGCATATGGATGACTCATGCTCAAATGCACTCAAGAAATGCCAACATGCAATGTTGCAAGAATATGGTTCTCTACTCATACTCATGCTTCTTTTGGCATTTCATCAAACAACTCATGTGCATACAAAAACTCTACTTTATTGAGAACTCTATTTCTCTCTTAGGCCATCCCAAAATGAGAGGAAATTCTCTTGCATGATCTCATTCCCTGTCAAGGAAACACACTCCCAAAAATCTACTCCAACCTCTTCCAATCTCAATCAAACTAACTCATCATCAGCAAGTAGACACTTCCATAACTTAAATATATCACAATCAACTAAATAACTACTCATATCATCTCAATCTCTACACAAGCATAATATAAAGCATAAAGAAATCTCTACTCATTAGATTCTTAAATCTCAACTTGAGTTGGATTACTTACCTCATACTTGAGTACTCCACTAAAGCTCTCTACTCTTGTTGGACCATAGCTTTCCCTTATTTCCTAAGCATAAACTTAGTAAGAACTTACCCTTACATAAATAAAACTCAACCTAGAGTAGGGATTCTTACCTTTCTTGCTTAGGATCACTTCTTTGTCAAATTCCAATTCAAACTCTCAAAAATCCCTTGAAAATTGAGTGAGAAATTGAGAGAAAATGAGGGATGAAGAGGCGGTGGAAATGGGTGAAATGAAGGGGTTTAGAGAACTCAACCCTTATTAACTCATATAATATACACTCTTTCCCATTTTGGCCATACTCTTTCTTGAAAATTCCACCTTTATCCTTTAATTCTTTACAAACTCACCCCCACTTTACACTATTCTTCATGAAATTTCCTTACATTTTACTCCCCACTTTTCCTGCTAATTAGGGGTAGAAAGGTCATTTTATCCCTAAGGAGAATTCTCTAGAAACCTCAAGAAACTTTTCTACCGTCTCGTCGCCGCGGCGAAGAACTTTTTGTCGCCCCGGCGAAACATTCCAGAACCTACACCGCCAAACACAAAGCCAACGTCGCCGCGGCGAAGCTTCTTCCTCGCCCCGGCGAAGGCTGCAACTCCAAAATCTGCCAAGTCTTGATCAATTCCATGGTAAACACTCAACCAAACCCAAAACATAAACTCAACCAAGGGCCAACCAAACAACATGAACAATATACAAACTCATTTAGGAGCAATTCAGTAACCTTTTAGGCCATACCATAAACAATGGCTATGTATCTCAAGTGGGGCGTTACACATACACAACTACAACCTGCATTTCTTAGCTCAATCATCTGAAGTTCAAAACTGTCATACACAGCTACAAACTACATTTCTCAGCTCAACCATCTAAAGTTCAATCACAAATCTCCAGTTTAACAACTCTATACCATAAATTCATGAGCACAATTCTGTAAACTATCTCAAAATCACAAATCTACAATTTAACACTACACCACAAATTTTTCAGTGCACATCTATCAATACTACAATCTGCCACAACTTCTTCAACCCTCATCAGTCAAAACTACAATACACAAATCTGTCAATACTACAATCTGCCACAATTTTTTTCAACATTCACCACAAATTTTCCAACACACATCTGTCAAAAACTACAAACTGCATTTTTCAACTGCATTTTGATCTTCTTCTACACTACAAAATCAGTTAAGAGTCAGTATGTAGCACAGGGAACTGCAATCACATTTAGTTTCAGTCTCACCTTAGAAAATTGAACAACAGACAATGCCTTTGTTAATATATATGCAATCTGCAATTTCGATGGTACATATTGAACGGTCAGATTCTTGGCAAGAACTTGCTCCCTAATGTAGTGAGCATCTATTTCTATATGCTTTGTTCTGGCATGGAAGACCGGACTTGAAGCTAAGGCTCCAGCACTTGTATTGTCACACCAAATTACAGGTTTTGAGGGCAAGTGAAGGTTGAGTTCAGTGAACATACTTTGAAGCCATGCAACCTTTATAGCAATTTGTGCTAAAGCCCTGTATTCAGCTTCAATGGATGATAATGCAACAACTTTTTGTTTCCTGGAGCTCCACTGGATTAGATTAGGTCCAAGGTAGACACAATACCCACTAGTAGATCTTCTATCTTCAACATTACTACCCCAATCCGCATCCGCATAACACTCAATATTCAAGGAAATTGCTGGTTTAAATTGAAGCCGATAATGCAGTGTCCCTTTAACATATCTCAGAACTCTCTTGCAAGCTTGCCATTGTAACTCAGTTGGGGCTTGTAAAAACTGACGAAGATGATTAACTGTGAAGCTAATATCTGGTCTAGTCAGTGTTAGGTACTACAAGGCTCCAATTGTGCTGTGATATATGTAGGATTCTCAAACATATCACTATCATCACTACTTAGTCTAGTACCAACAACCATTGGTGTAGAGCATGGGTGTGCATCCATCATTCTGGTTTTAACAAGCAAGTTTGAGGCACATTTGGACTGCCTGAGATGTATACCAGCTGTTGTCCTGATTGCTTCCAAGCCTAAAAAGTATTTGAGTGATCCTAGAATTTTCAAGGCAAATTGCTCATTTAAATCTTGTAACAACTAAGTTATGTAGGTTGCATCAGAACCAGTAATTAAAATATCATCTACATAAACAAGAACATAGATTAGTCCTAATGATTTTTTAAGAATAAATAAACTTGAATCTGAAACTGAGTTTTGAAAGCCTTTGTCTTGGAGAGTAGCCTTGAGTTTATCAAACCAGGCCCTAAGGGCCTGTTTAAGGCCATATAAAGCCTTGTTTAATTTACACACATATGAGGGATAAGCAGCTAATTCAAAGCCACTTGGTTGCTGCATAAACACTAGCTCACTTAGAGTGCCATTAAGGAACGTATTGTTGGCATGAATCTGTTGAACATCCCATGCATTGGTTATTGCTAGAGTGAGAACTGTTCTGATGATGGATGGTTTTATAACTAGACTAAATGTTTCAAAGTAGTCCAAACCAAGACTTTGTTGAAAACCCTTAGCCACTAGTCTGGCTTTGTACTTCTGTAGAGTACCATCAGCATTCAATTTTGTTCTGAAAACCCATTTATTTACCCACAATATTCATGTCTGCAGTAGGAGAAACAAGGATCTAGGTGTTGTTCCTAATTAGAGCATCAAATTCTACCTGCATAGCCTCTTTCCAAACTGCAGTTTTTAATGCTTCAGCAACAATCACAGGTTCTGATTCTATAAGGGATTGACTAGCTGTAAGGCAAACAGCATGATCCAAGGACTCACAGGTTAAATCAACATGACCAGTTGCAGCTTTAGCTCTTGTAATCATAGGGTGAGAATTAACAGGTTGAAGTTGAACATTAGTGAACTGTGAAGCAGTAAGGTCAACCTCAAGTTGATAATTTGTTGGAGCACATGATGATGGACTAGTAGGTAATAGAGATGGAGAAGAACAAGATAGGATGGATTGAGATTGAGCAATCTGTAAATCTATATAGGACTGCCAGAGTGTGTTTTTAGAAGTTAACTTAAATTAGAAACCTTACAACTAGATGCAAGATCACAGGCTGGTATTGGAGTAACTAAGTCAACTTCAATATGACATTTTGGCAAATTATTAGAGGAAGAAATAGCAAGTAGTTGAGACACTGGATTATGACTTTTTGAGTTAGATGGGAAAGATTTTGATCGAGTGGTATTTAATGAAGAACTAGATTTTTCTGTAGTAACCTTATGTGGAATTAAAGAAGGAATATGAGTAGAACTATCAGCAATTTTAGAGGTACTAGGTAAAGATGAATCAGATAAGTGTGAAGAAGTTGTACCTGCTGCTAAAGAGTAAGTAGCAACTACTGGATTGCTAGGAACAGTCTGAGAACCAGTTACTACTTGGGGATTAGAAGCTATTAAAGATAGGCTATGCTGGAAAATTATATAGGGCAGTGTTGAACTGTTACTGGAACAAGCATTAGTAGAATTGGCTAAAGGATCAGAATTAGGTTAAATAGGGGACTTATCAAACTCTTGAGAATAAGGGAATTCATTTTCATTAAATTTAACACTAGGAGTAATAAAGATGTTCCCATCAGCCCTTAAACACTTATAACCTTTGTGAAGTAAACTATACCCTACAAATACACGTTTTGAGGAATGAAAGTCAAATTTGTGACTATGAAAATTTCGAAGAAAAGGGAAACAAGAACAGCCAAAGACTTTAAGACTATCATACACAGGATATTTATTAAAAAGCATGTAATAGGGAGTGTTATTATTTAAGACAGTAGTGGGCAGTTGGTTGATGAGAAAAGCTGCTGTTTCAAAAGCAAACCACTAGTATTTCTTCTCAAATTCATTGGCTCTTTGACCAACATCTTCTTACGAGCTTTAGATCGCAACGAGCTTTATACTATACGAGCTATCAGCATCTTTGAGCTTATAGTAAATTCATGCACAACAATAATAAAAGACAATTCGTGGTATATTATATAGGTTGTGTACTCATTCTTATGAAATTAAACTGAATCTATAGGAGTAATTACTTCACTTGAAAAATTTTGTATAGACATTTCTTTCGATTCTCAACAGTGAAGTAATTAATACAAAACTCATGATGAATATACACCTTCAGCCTCCTTATATACCCGATAGAGGTACAGTGTGGCTGGGCACACTGACTTCATTGCGTTGTAATACAACTTTCCTACAGTTCAACCTTCGTCGGAAAATGTTAATGTTATATGCCCAGTGACACTTTGTAATATTGGTGTATGTGACATGTTCCAATGATATTAGGTCCTGTTGAAACAGGCATTGTTGTTAAAGTACAATTTTTTTTACGGTGATCAGTACTTCAAAATTCTTACATATACATATATAAATGCACATGTATATGTGAAGTTAATTAGCTTGTGTTAAATAATTTGAAGATTTATATTTTCTTATGGTGCAAACATAGATATGTAAAAATTAATTAAATTACATCTACACCTAAAATATTTATATATACATATTAATGTTGACTGCTTTTACGAAATTATAGATTTTGATTCGTATTTTCATTACACATTTATAAATAAAAGAATGCAAAACATGATGAAGCTGAACATGAGGATTATAATTAAAAAAGAGATGGAGAAACAAGTGAGTTAATTAAGATTTGAAGATTCTGATCTCTCTCTTTCTCTCTGTAATTGCGTGATCCCATACGCATGAACTCTCTCTCTCTCTCTCTCTCTCTCTCTCTCTCTCTCTCTCTCTCTTTTAAATTCTATTTGCTTTCAGGTCCCCCCACTCCACCCCTCCAACATTCTTTCTAATATATATATATATGTATTTATATTACAGAAAGAGAACAAACGCATGAACTGCCTCTCTCTCTCTCTCTCTCTCTCTCTCTCTCTCTCTCTCTCTCTCTCTCTATTTCTTCTAAATTCTATTTGCTTTCAGGTCCCCCCACTCCACCCCTCCAACATTCTTTTTAATATATATATATATACAACCAATCTAAAAAAAAAAAAAAGTCTTCATTATAAAAGAAGAGATTATCTTACTATGCAAGACCAAAATACTAGCAATACTTTCTATACTTCTCTCGTTCTCTTCTTAACAGGTATCATAACACAAACTTATCAGTTTGTATGAGTGCCCTTTTGCCCCATCAAAGCCGATCGTGGTAGATTGCCCAAATCTAGAGCAGATCTTGCTGCTAAAGGTGAAGGACCTAAACCATTATGAATTATCCAAAAAAAAAAAAAAAAAAAATTATTGGGCATATAAATGAAGTGATGTGATCTTCTGTGAAACAGTTGTATCATATTATTCATACCCTCATTTAACAACAACATGAAGATCACATCATATGTACTCTTATTCAACATCAACAAGAAAAATGTCCTAATACATAAAGGAAACGAAAAATGAAACATAATTCATAGATCAATTAAGCCTTCTCAAGGACTTGGTTAAAACAATTAGATATTTTTTGAAGATTGGTACTAATTCATGATCTAACATGTACAAAGTGAAAACCTCATTCTAGATTCTCTGAGAATTTTTGTGAAAGCATCCAATGGAATCATGAAGAATTTTGAGTGAACCAAACATAATCATATGAGATATGGATATTTATTCAAAACAGACAATAAAAATGAATATACATGTGCAGAAATTTTAATCGAGCGAGCATACAGATGATATTCTTCATACTCTTCCTTAGAAATTTTCCAGACCAAAGACATTTTTTCACATTTTCCACAAGCATGAGATGCAAGGCCATTGCTGTTTCAGTACACAAACTCAATAGTGCTCTAGTGGTCCATCTTTCTGCATTTGAATTTTCATCTATGACAAATAGTAAAATGGATTCTCCACTAGAATAGAATCAATACGTAAAAAAAAGCAAAGAACCTAGCAATTACACTGTGAGTATTCAATGTTATTTCAGACCAAGAATAGACCACCAACCCATAATAGTTTTCATCAACTTGTTGGATCCTATACCATTGGTCATTCGTCACATAAAAAGGAACTTGATCGTCATCTAATTGACTAAAATTTCTCTAAATCTTGGGTAAGGTATTGAGGCTATCCTCACCACAGATTGGATGAAATATATGTTCAAAAGGAAACATATCAGAACTTTACCCTTTTTGAATAAAATGGGTATAACCTTGACATATCTGGAAGAAAATTTACAAGAAGGGTTCTGATATAGATTAATCTTAGTAGCACATATATTTTTCGTCCTCAAACAAGTATCATTTGTCATAATTGTGTTTACAGAAACATATTAAGGCAAAACCTTATGTTTTTTATAAGAAAGAGAAGTTTTTCAATTACTGTGTAATTCTAGTTAACATGTAACATGTAACCTTAGGAACAAACCTCACTTCTTAAGGAACATTTCTCTGAACAAATTATTTGACTTCGGCTTCTCATCTTCCACTTCCCCGGCTTTTGAATTTGTCAAGGGGACACCAAGTGGTCTTGTAATAACTCTCTCTAGCTAGTATACTTTGGGAAAGTATATTCTGAAATCACTAAATATGTTATAGAAAACATATATGTACATAAGTATAAGATAGTGGGCCCAAAAATAGCGTTACTTTTACATACAAATCTCTACATCAAGTACCATAGTCACAAAAATAAATTAAAAATACAGTCAGACAGTGTTGCCTTTCTCCTTCGCTACTTGACTTCTGATCCAACTGCATCTCATCTACTACCTGCAAAAAAAGTGAAATCAACGGGGTGAGCACTAATTTCTCAGTAAGTAAACCCACAATACTTTTATTCTTTCTCCGTTACTTAGATCCTGGATTATCTTTCCTTGCACCAAACTTCTTAATTCTTCTCCACCCTTTGTAAGATTCTAGCTTCTCACTTACCGATATGTAAGCACAAATAGGGCAACTAACTCGGGATAGTAGAAATGGCATGATGCATATGCACAAATGCATAAACTTTTTCTATGCATTGCATTTTCTTTTCTGTTTTCCTGTTTTCTATCTCTGCATTTCTTTCTTTTCTGTTTCTCTTTTTTCTTTCCTTTCTATTCTTTTCTTTCTTTTCTTTTCTATTCTTTCTTTTCTTTTCAATTCTTTCTTTCTTTTCTATTCTTTATTTCTTTTCTATTCTTTTCTTTCTTTTCTTTCTTTTCTTTTTCTATTCTTTTCTTTTCTATTTTATTCTTTTCTTTTCTTTTCTATTCTTTCTTTTCTTTCTTTCTTTTCTATTCTTTTCCTTCCTTTCTTTTTCTATTCTATTCTTTTCTTTCTTTTCTTTTCTATTCTTTTCTATTCTATTCTTCCTTTTCTTTTCTATTCTTGTTTGCCGATCGGACTCGGTTGAGGCATGGATTCGGATCCCTGGCCTGTGAGTGGGTATAGTCCTCATCTACATGCACTTCTAACGGACTGTACAAATTCTTCTTTCTTATTCTAAGGCCGCTCACTAAAGGCGATGTGCATGTAGGTATGCTCTACTGGGTACGGTCCTCATCCACATGTATTTCTAACGGACTGTACAAATTCTTCTTTCTTATTCTGAGGCCGCTCACTATAGGCGGCGTGCATGTTGGCTATTCTTCTTCTCGGTCACTCATGGGTTCCCCATCGCAACAATCTTCTCTTCTCTTTTCTTTTTTTTTTTTTTTAATAAAATTTCAGATTTGAACTTCTTTAATTATATTCTTTAGAGGATGATTCTACAATTTATTTCTTTTCTTTCTTTCTCTTTATTCTTTAATGTTCTCATACATGTGTATGTGCATGGAAATATGCTCATTCTTTGCTATTCTTCTAAATGCAAATATGAGAATGTGAGAATGCATTATGGCATATAAAGGTATCATTATGGAACTAGTATTCTTTACCAACAATATTCCCATACTTGAAATCAATCATAGATTATTAGACTAAAAATAAACTAATAAATTGGAAGCACTTTTGAGGTCGTCATTCTGCACAGGTCATATTCAAGGAGGCATATCTCAAGTTATACACATCGGATTGCTATGATCTTGGTCTCATCTTAAAGCTTAGAGATTAGGTCTCAACCCAGTTCGATATGTAAGACCCTAAAAAATCACTCAGAAGGCCATAGATTTGATAGGGCAACCATTGTAACATGTTTTCTCTTAGGATTTTCATCAAATAATTCATACGCACATGCAAATACTAAGTTGGCTGCACTTCCACATCTTTCTCAAGCCACCAAAATAGGAGTAAGAACTCCCTAAAGCCAACAATTAACCTAGCTGAAATTCATCCTCCACCTTTCCACATCCATACTTTCATTTTTCATCCAAAATTCCATCAACTCAACACATACAAATACATCAATTCTCACCACATATTAATAAATCAATTCTCATCCCATACTAATGAATCAATTCTCATCACATACTAATGAATCAATTCTCATCACATATTAGTAATTCACTTCTCATCACACACTAATAAATTACTTCTCATCACATATAATAAATTACTTCTCATGGCCATGAAATTCACATATCAAACAACCTCAATTTTCAATCCATAATTTCTCATCATCCCAACACACATACAACATAAAATTAATTTCTCTACACAAGTATTTATCCAATCAAAGCTAAAGTTGGATTTACTTACCTTGAATTTAAGCAACTTCAACACTATAATCTCTCTGTGGTAGAATTCCCTTTCCTCTTAAACCCTAAGCATATACAACCATAAGAATTCAAAACTTTAAATTTAATATTACTTCTTAGTGCGAGAATCTTACCTTTGGATGCTTAGGATTGAAAATCTATCAAAATCTAGCAAAAATCCAATGAATTTCCTTGGAAATTTAGTGAAGAAATTTGAGAGAATTTGGGTAGAGAAATGGCATGAATGGAGGGGTAGAGTGGCTAGGGTTTCTCCTTTTGAACTCTTATTATATATATATATATATGTAAATTTCATCTATGCCCCTTAGTCAATTACAAGAATGCCCTCATTTTTATTATCTTCTCATGTTATTTTATTTCTTTTCACTCCCCACTCTTTCATCTAAATATGAGTGAAATGAGCATTTTACCCCTAATAACATTTTAAAGAATATTCTTCACACTTGTTCAAGATAACTTTAACAAAATTCAACTCAGGGTATCAGGGCATGAATAAAGCGACGAACCTTGACGTAGGTGTTACAGGTCTGACGTTCCTTGGCATTGCAAATTTGTTCCTCCCCTTAAGCTAAATGTTATCACTACGTTTATTAGCAGTAGAGTGTGGCGCTCTAAACTCCCTGAAAGTCTAATTACTACTTTGCGATGTCATTTAACCCAAAGGAGTAAGAAAATAAAATGTAGAAGTGGGAAACACAAACATGCAAACGTCTATAGGCTGCATTGGACACAAACAAACACACACAAGTAACAACAAAGATAAAACATAATTCCACTTAGCCTACCATGTTCTCCAGAGGCCTCATGACTAGCAGAATCCTTTCTCTTTTGCTTCGGATTTGATCTTGCAATGCTTATCTTCTTCCCAAGAAACAGTTGTTTCTTCTTTCTTACAGCTACAGCAAGGTGTGCATCATCAGCAAAATCCACATATGCCAAGCCCTTCAAAAATCGATCAGAGCATATTATAAATTAGTATGCAACGGTCCCAGACATATGCTCTACAGTTAAAGGCAAGCTGGAATATGGGTAAATCTGTATGGGACTATGGTTGAGTCTCCTAAGCATATCACCTGCTATCAAAATGAAAAAAAAAATATGCTCTTAGACAGTTAAGACTCTTTATACTTAGAAAATTAAGCAATTTTACCATAATTATGGAATTCAACCCTTCTATAGAATTATTTGAGACTGCATAATCATCTCCGGAAAGGACATTCATCTTAAAACCAAAATGGTAAGAACTAAATGATTTATTGACTACATGAAATGAAGAAATCAAATTGAAGTTTCAGTGAACACCCTTGAGAAATTTGATCAAAGAGAATATATTGCATTTAGCAGTTTCAATCTCCCTGAAGCATCAGCGATGCTGATATCCTAGTCTCATTAAAATTAGTTTCTTAGGGCTAATTTATGTGGTACAGTCCACATTATGCATACATATGTTGAAGTTTAAAGGTCAGGCAATGTTAAATAAGGATTTGACTGTAAGACTGATGTGCACATGGAAAGTCCAATGGATAGCTTCCCTTTTTTCATTTGAAGCATAAAGCACAAAGACCATTGACAGATAATGAATGAGAGAAATAGAGTCATACCCTTGACTTTCCGGTGAACTTGTCCTATAGAGATTCAACCCCACAAACATCGCTAAAGAATTTTTTCAGATCTTCAAAAGTTGCCTGAAAAAAATTTAAAACCATCAGAATTATCTCTCTGTATTTGCCTATCTAGCATTAAAAAAGAATAAAAAGCAATCACTCTCTGAAGTACGAGAGAATCTCTACTTCCCCTAAAGTTAAGGTTTGATAAAAATGCAGTACACTCGTTAGTGTATACTTTGGCTCTTCCAGTGGTGAAGTCTTTGATGTGCTGGTCATTTGGATGCTCTTCAAACTTGGGTTTTGCTTCTACTTCGTTTTCTTTAACTAAGTTCTGTGCTTGTCCCTTTTCTTTCCCATACACTTTGTTTGGGTTTTGGGCAGTATTTTTCTACCGCTTAGCTGGTAACTGTTTGTCAGTCATGTTTGAATATGTTTTTCTCTTTCCATTAACACTTTTCTTATGTGACTTCTCTTTCTGATCTATTAGTTCAGGAACAGATTTGGCTTCCTGTTGTAACCTAAATAATTGCAGCTCTTCCAGGCGGGGTGTAACCTGAGAAAGGGAACAAAGACAAGCATCTTTACGCATTGAGTTAAAATAGCAAGGATTGTATACATTCAATAAATACTAAGCAGATGTATCATAATTCAGTGACATCTTTAACAATGTTACGTAACAACTTGACTTAAAAGCTTAATTTGATAGTTAAGCATCCAACAACCATACTTAAAATTTAACACAATCTCGTGCGCTAAAGACCCACAATCACAACCATAAATATAACATAAATACAAATATAAATTTATAATCTAAATAAGAGCCTATTTGATATAAATTTTAAATAGTATTTTCAAAATGAGAGGGAAAGAGAGAAAAACTAGTTTAAAATTCCAAAACCCAGAAACCCCATTGATTAAAAAAAAAAAAAAAAAAAGAAATAAGGAGGAAAAAACTATTTTAGAAACTTTCAAATTTAAATCCTATCCATAAATCAATCTAGAATAATTGAAAGCAAGTAATGTAAAAGAATTACACCTCTGAACCTATCCCACTAAATCTTTTAATGCAGCATCTCCTGTAGATGGACCTAGCTTCATTTAAATGTCCCAATTCAATTTCCATAGCTATATAACCTTGCCAGGCTTCCAACATTGACCCGTTGCACAGACAAAAAGCAAGTTATACGGAAAAAATACAAAGATGAATCATAAATCAATCATATTGAACTATTCAGGATAAGAAGAGAAAAAGATGAATGGACCGAATCAGATCTTAACTAGGCTCTCCCAAAAGTCCCGAGCTGCAGCTTGATCTTTTCCCAAATTTAGCTCCAAATGAGCCTAAAAAGCATACAAATGCAGCAAACCATCTGTATTCTTATCAGTTGAGATAAGTAATCAAATGCCCGTTGAAAGGAAGAAACTTCACAGTTAAGTATTCAAGTATATATAATACATCCAATCATTCAGGGCGTTCAATGTCAATGGTACACTAAAGAGACATCAGGCTAACTATTTATAAACACAAATGTTGAAAACAACCATTACACAACAACAATGTACCAGTTGAATATGACATGCAAATTTTATAAATTCACATATCCATAAAGATATCTTCCATGCATGCAACTCCAATGCTGAATGAGAAATTTTTTAGTAATGGACACTATTCCATGACAAAACAATTAACAAAGGTAACAATCTAGCAATTAGCAAAAGCCATCTTGGAGTAGAGTTATACACTGTAACTTCTATATAAAATGGTCATAATGGTACTATAACAGTGCACTACATGAAGTAAATTAAAAGACTTTTCTTCAGAGTCTAAGGGTAGAAGCACTTGATACACATTCGTAAGAGATCTATGCCTAGACCCTAAAAAGAGTAGACTAGCTACAAGGTCCACATTTTCTCCATCTAAAATTCACCATGAATAGAGCATCTACATATGTCTTTGAGAAGCTTCAAGTTCTTGACATCGAGTAAAAACAATTTTAACAAGGAAAAATGAACAGTATACATATGCAAACCTGAAACGTTTCCCTTATCCATGAAAAATTCAATGCATCCTCTTCTGCTCCAGGCAAAAGGATTCTTCATCTTAAACCATCCACCCGAGTGAGGAATAAGTTTGGCTACTGAAACAAAAAGGATCCAATTAACAAAGATCTTTAATGCGTAAAACGTAGATGAAACAATAACAAGTTACAAAGAGTAGTAAGTCAAGCCAGCAATTAGAGAAAAGATATCTTTACTTCCTCAATGGTTGAAAAAGTGCATAAAAGGGACTTCTCAAAGACCTGAATATAACATAAAAATATTTTTAAACAAGAGTAAACCTCTATATTTGTAAAAGGAGCAGAATGAAATTCCAACACTAAAGTTTGTGAAACTTCATTGCTCTTAAGCTAGTCATAACAATCTCTCATAATTCTCAACTGATGAAGGGTAACAACTGAAACTTGCAATAGATATCTCTTTCTCAGGTGCACGGCAACGTTCCAAAGCAAGCAAAGATCGAACCCAAAGATCATCAACCCAAGGACAATTTTTCCTAGCCCCAGAATGAACATCCCACACAATATTTCCTACCTAAAGGGAAAAGAGATGATTAATTGCTAAAATTGCAAATACCTGGAGCATAAAGAATTGAAAAGAGAAAATATGAGTGAAACCTTCAAGGTTTTATCCAAATAGCGAGTATAACCAAGCCAGAGATCACTTGATACAGGAAACTTAGTAATAGCACATTCATAGAGAAGTTGAACACGGGCTGGATCTCTAGAAGACTGTTCAAACTTCAAGTAGATTTGCAAAAATTTCAAATTGAAATAATAGTATTAACACTTTAAAGAAGGAAAAAAAAAAAAAAAGTAACCTATTGCCACATTGCAAGTTCTTATACAACCCCCCACCCTCAGGAAAAGAAGAAGAAGAAGAAGAAGAGAAGATCTAAAGTTTACATAAACTGATTACTTATATTAGAAGCAAGAAAGACCATAAGAAATTGAAATTATAATGAAATTTCAACAGCAACTTTGTTTATAAACAACTTGACCTAAAAGCTTAAGCTTGAAAAGATAAGGGCACAACAATGATATTCAGCTTTGTAACAGGCAACTTCACATGTTACATAAACCAAGCCCAGATTTAGACACAAAGACCAACCCCAATATAGCATGATGTAATAGATGGGAGACTTAAATCATGACCTCTACACTTTAATATCATATCAAGTTACCATTTAACCTAAATTCTTAAGGTATCACATAAGAACCCAGCATTATCATTTAGCTGTCTAAAATAATATCTGATAGTCAATGCCATATACCTTGAATTGTTGAAATTTTTCGGAGTCAGATATATCCTACCTTGCAATCTGTTCTTTAAAATCGGCTCGAGCATTATACATCTCCAATGCCTTTTGGTACGCTGAGGCAACAATAGAAGAAATCCCATCTAAATCACCTGATTCAATACCTAGAGCAGTCCCCAGTTCCACCTCCCAAGACTTTTAGGCAAGAAGGATTGACCTTAAGTTAACAAGGGGAACCGACAACTGACGGTGAAATAATTACATCACTTGAAAAATTTTGTATAGACATTTCTTTCGTTTCTCAAGAGTGAAGTAACTGTTAGGAAACGACCCGGTTGCTCAGCGGAAAACAAAATTTTATACAATCGTAGATCGTTACTTAAAGCCCAAAATCAAGGCACAAATTTTACAGTTTATGTATGATATCAAGAATCTGCAGAAAATAAAATAAATTTAAAGTTTAGATTCATACCCACGTTGGAGGCTCCACCAATATTGTCTCTAAACGTGTTTGCTACCGATCCAAGTATAGGATCAAACCAAGAAGTCCACACGAAGACAACCACTAAGAACCAAGGTGGGATTTGCTAGATCCTCCTTAGCCTTAAGAAATCAAGAAGAAAAGAAGTATTTGATTTTTCAATCAAAAAGGTGAAAGTGGCGTGAGAGTAGGAGTAAAATGGAGCTGCTGTGTTTTGGTTTTAGAATCATAAATGAGCTAAAATGTTATGATTTACAAATAAACATTTTTCTTTTATAGTAAACCTTAATACCCTATTCCCACATGGGATGGGCTTGGGCTCCAACCCAAACACCCCATGTTGCCAAACACTCCCAAATTAGATATTTTATTTATTTCATCATTATTTCAATTAAAAATCAATTAATATATATATATATTAACATTTAACAATAATGATAATTTATTTAAATATATGCGAACAAATATTTAAACGGAATTTCACTTATTTAATTTTTCTAACAAATTAAATAAAGGCTACGACCTCAGCAAATTTAATTGCACTGTGAAATTACCAAAATACCCTTTCGCCTTAAAAGACGAAAACGCCCTTCTTTCTTCTTGCATCTTAAATTGTCTTCTATGTGTGTGACCCTTAGGCTCCTCATCATATCGGCAGTGTATAGTATTGCGATTAACACCAATTAATCGTCTCACTAATACACAGACCAAGATTGGCCCCTAGCAAGGCATCATGGCCACCCGATAGATTCGGATTCAGCAAAGTAGCTACCTGTCAACGATATGGTTACCGTGCAATTCGATCCTTTCATCATACGTTATCTCGACGAGACGAAGGCATAGAAATAGTGTCAACCTTCGGTTACTCTCGATATTATTTATTCAGTTTCTGGACCAATGACCCGTATTATAAACTGGATAGAGCAACAACTCAATCCCACTGTGGCCACAGTTTTAGTGTCATTGCCATATACTGAATTGCGCCGTGAGATAACTTTCTCCCGTACCCGGGAGTGATGAATCCTCTGTCAATCCACCATAGTCTTGATACACTCCTTGATGCAGCCAATCACCACCGTATTGACAGCTCTGAAAAGAACTGCGTTAGGCTAGTGTCAAACTACACCAATCGGTGCACAAGGCGCTCCGGTGATCTCAAGTCTAAGGATCACATGCACCACCATTCGTTAGAGGATTTGTTCCATAGACACTGGGGTTACCATCCATATGGAATCCTCTGGTGGGTCAGTCCAGTGAACTTGCTGTGGTGTAATCGCCTACAACAAGCACCCATGTGTTGCACCAGGTTGTCACCAAACAACCTTGACAAGTGAGATCAGTCACTGCCTTTCGACAGGGTCGTTCAACACTATGATAGCCTTACCGTATTATCTGTGCCCTTACTTCAGAATAATACTGGGGCTACGGATGTTTCTAGAATGGCCACCATATGTGCTCATAGGGTTCTCACTATCAAGATTTGAAACACTTGATACCCTCATCACAGTTCTACCATTCTAAGGACATATATCAATACATATTGCAATAATCATGATTTACGCGATATAGGATAAAATGCCTTTTATTATTGATTAATGAACATTATTACAAAGAGTCAATTCTACAATAATTGATTGGCTCTAGGGCATCTACTCTAATAGTAATTAATACAAAACTCATGATGAGGATACACCTTCAACCTCCTTATATCTACCCGATAGAGGTACGGTGTGGCTTGGCACACTGACTTCATTGTGTTGTAATACAACTTTCTTTTAAAGATATTTTTTGAAGATTGGTACTAATTCATGATCTAACATGTACAAAGTGAAAACCTCATTCTAGACTCTCTGAGAATTTTTATGAAAGCATCCAATAGAATCATGAAGAATTTTAAGTGAAACAAACATAATCATATGAGATATGGATATTTATTCAAAACAAACAATAAAAATGAATATACATGTGCGGAAATTTTAATCAGGCGAGCATACAGATGATATTCTTCATATTCTTCCTTAGATATTTTCCAGACCAAAGACATTTTTTCACATTTTCCACAAGCATGAGATGCAAGGCCATTGCTGTTTTGGTACACAAACTCAATAGTGCTCTAGTGGTCCATCTTTCTGCATTAGGATTTTCAGCTATGACAAATAGTAAAATGGATTCTCCATTCGAATATAATCAATAGGTACAAAAAGGCAAAGAACCTAACAGTTGCACCATGAGTATTCAATGTTATTTTAGACCAAGAATAGACTACCAACCCATAATAGTTTTCATTATCTTATTGGTCCTATACCATTGGTCATTTGTCACATAAAAAGGAACTTGATCGTCATCTAATTGGGTAAAATTTCTCTGAATCTTTGGGTAAGGTATTGAGGCTATCCTCATCACAAATTGGATGAAATATATGTTCCACAGGAAACATATTAGAACTTTACCCTTTTTGAATAAAATGGGTATAAAGTTGACATATCTGGAAGAAAATTTACAAGAAGGGTACTGCTATAGATTAATCTCAGTAGCACATATGTTCCACAGGCAAAACCTTATGTTTTTTTATAAGAAAGAGAAGTTTGTCAATTACTGTGCTATTCTAGTTAACATGTAACATGTAACCTCAGGAGCAAACCTCACTTCTTAAGGAACATTTCTCTGAACAAATTATTTGACTTCGGCTTTTCATCTTCCACTTCCCCAACTTTTGAATTTGTCAAGGGGACACCAAGTGGTCTTGTAATAAGTCTCTCTAGCTAGTATACTTTGGGAAAATATATTATGAAATCACTAAATATTTTATAGAAAACGTATATGTACATAAGTATAAGATAGTGGGCCCAAAAATAGCGTTACTTTTATATACAAATCTCTACATCAAGTACCATAGTCACCAAAAAAAAAAAAATTCAAAATATAGTAGACAGTGTTGCCTTTCTCCTTCACTACTTGACTTTCGATCTGACCACATCTCATCTACTACCTACAAAAATAGTGAAATCAACGGGGTGAGCACTAATTGCTCAGTAAGTAAACCCACAATACTTCTATTCTTTCTCCGTTACTCAGATCCTAGATTTTCTTTCCTTGCACCAAACTTCTCAATTCTTCTCCGCCCTTTATAAGATTCAAGTTTCTCACTTACCGATATGTAAGCACAAATAGGGAAACTAACTTGGGATAGTAGAAATGGCATGATGCATATTCACAAATGCATAAACCTTTTCTATGCATTGCATTTTCTTATCTGTTTTTCTATTTTCTTATTCTGTTTTCTTTCTTTTTCTGTGTTTCTATGCTTTCTTTTCTGTTTCTATTCTTTCTTTTCTATTTCTGTTCTTCCTTTTCTGTTCTTTTCTTTCTTTTCTTTTCAATTCTTTCTTTCTTTTCTTTCTTTTCTTTTCTTTTCTATTCTATTCTATTCTATTCTATTCTATTCTTTCTTTTTTTTTTTCTTTTCTTTTTTTTCTTTCTTTTCTATTCTTTCTTTCTTTTCTTTTCTATTCTTTTCTTTCTTTTCTTTTTCTATTCTTTTCTCTCTTTTCTTTTCTATTCTTGTTTGCCGATTGGACTTGGTTGAGGCATGGATTTGGAACCCTGGCCGTGTGAGTGGGTACGGTCCTCATCTACATGCACTTCTAATTGACTGTACAAATTTTCTTTCTTATTCTAAAGCCGCTCACTAAAAGCGGTGTGCATGTAGGTATGCTCTGCTGGATACAGTACTCATCCACATGCACTTCTAACGAACTGTACAAATTCTTCTTTCTTATTCTGAGGCTGCTCACTAAAGGTGGCGTGCATTTTGGCTATTCTTCTTCTCGGTCACTCACGGGTTCCCCGTCACAACAACCTTCTCTTCTCTTCTCTTTTTACATTTCTTTAAATAAAATTTTATATTTGAACTTCTTTAATTATATTCTTTAGAGGATGGTTCTACAATTTATTTCTTTTCTTTCTTTCTCTTTATTCTTTAATGTTCTCATACATGTGTATGTGCATGGAAATATGCTCATTCTTTGCTATTCTTTCTAAATGCAAATGTGAGAATTCATTATGGCATATAAAGATATCATTACGGAACTAGCATTCTCTACCAACAATATTCCCATACTTGAAATCAATCATAGATTATTAGACTAAAAATAAACTAATAAATTTGAAGCACTTTTGAGGTAGTCATTCTGCTCAGGTCATGTTCAAGGATGCATATCGTGAGTTATACACATCGGATTGCTATGATCTTGGTCTCATTTTAAAGATTAGAGAAAGGGCTACAAATTTTATGTTTAGGTCTCAACCTAGTTCAATATGTAAGATGCTCAAAAATCACTCAGAAGGCCATAGATTTGACAGGCCAACCATTGTAACATGTTTTCTCTTAGGATTTCATCAAACAATTCAGATGCACATGCAAATACTAAGTTGACTGATACGTTGTAACTACAACATGCAATGTATAGCAAGTGCACTAGTCGCACAAAGTAATGAAGTGTTCAGAAAAGTATTGTTCCCACTAGGATTGTTTGTTAAGCACTGATTTTCCTAATTGTTGACAATTTGGAGAAAACGAAAATGTTGGATTTTGCGGGAGAATTTTAAGCAAAAGTGGAAATAAAATTTACTACTAACTTAAAGGCTAATTAATGATAGTAAAACTAATTC